CGTAGAAGGATTACCCCACCTTCGAACCTCGTTAAAGTTTGCGTGTCTCTCTCTCTCTACTCACTTTGTGATTATATTAACTGTGAAACTAACCAACCCATATTGATTACTGCTCCAACAATCCACCAATTTCCGCACACAATCTAAGTTCTCAAGAACTTTAGATTAACAACCATTTAACGTTTTCAAAAATAAACGAAAAAGATTTTAAATTTATAGCAAAGTCTATTCACCCTCCCTCTAGACTTTGTATCTCACCACTTAGGGGACCACCAGTTTGACTATTGTCAACATCAGCAAGCACATTCCATATACTCTTTGAGTGTATTAAGACATTTTTTGAAAGTGGTCCGAATTGGGATAAGAGGTATGAAATGTTCGGAGTATAAGTAGTATATTGATTGGATAATCAATCTACCCATTAAATGTCTTGATTCGATGAATCTATTTATTTAACATGATTTGATATAAAGTATGTATGGAGCCATGCACCAAGTTTACTGCGCACGCAGTTCCATACCAATACACTACCCATTAAATGTCTTGATTCACACACCAATATTACTACGCACACGATTTCATATCAACGCACAACCCATTTATTAATTTTGATTTGACATAAAGTTTATATCGAGCAATGCACCAACATTACTATGCACACGGTTCCATATCAATACACTACCCATTTATTTATTTTTATTTGACATAAAGTTTGCATCGAGTCACGCAACAACTTTACTACACATGGGGTTACAAGGCAATACACTACCCATTTATTTATTTTGATTTGACATAAAGTTTGCATCGACCCACACACCATCACTACAACGCACGCGGTTCCATATCAATACACTATCCATTTATTTATTTTGAATTGACATAAAATTTACATCGAGTCACGCACCAACTCTACTACCCACGCAGTTCCATATAAATACACTACCCATTTATTTATTTTGATTTGACATAAAGTTTGCATCGAGCCACACACAAAAATTACTTAACACGCGGTTCCATATCAATACAATACCCATTTATTTATTTTGATTTGACATAAAGTTTGTATCAAGCCACACACCAACATTACTATGCACGCGGTTCTATAACAATACATTACCCATATATTTTGATTTGACATAAAGTGTGCATCGAGTCATGCACCAACTTTAAAACGCACGTGGTTCCATACTAATACACTACCCATTTATTTATTTTGATTTGACATAAAGTTTGCATCGTGTCACGCACCAACATTACTATGTACGCGGTTCCATATTAATACACTACCCATATATTTATATTAATTTGACATAAAATTTGCATCGATTCACACACCAACATTACTATGCACGCGGTTTCATATCAGTACACTACCCATATATTTATTTTAATTTGACATAAAATTTGCATCGAGTCACGCACCAACTTTACTACGCACACGGTTCCATAACAATATACTACCCATTATTTATTTTGATTTGACATAAAGTTTGCATCAAGCCACACACCAACATTACTACGCACGCGGTTCCATATCAATACACTTCCCATTTATTTATTTATTTTGATTTGACATAAAGTTTGCATCGAGTCACACACTAACTTTATAACGCACGCGGTTCTATATCAATAGACTACCCATCAATTAAGCCCAATTCGGCAGGATCAAACCCAATTGGATAGTCCATTAATTTTGTTACGCCACAAAATAAGACCTAAAATTTATTATAAAACAAAAGTAGTTTTGAATATCATTTTGATCCAATAAAGAATATTTATACATTTGGCCAAAAAATAAATGGATTTTCAAAATAATGACTCTTTGTTAAAAACTTATTTTTATGGATATGTCTCGAAGAGACGAATCCAACAATACATTTTATGAACCAATCTGATTTATAGATTTCAAGTTATGACGATTTTAAATATTAAAATTTGTAACTTTGACCCATAAATTAAACTCAATTCAAAAGTGATTTCATAAGATTAGAAATCTTAATATTTGACACTTAACAATATCATATTAATTATTTGGATTGAATTCATATATTTTTATCTCATTCATATTGTTAAATTAATTTATGACTGAGACAAACCCAGACACAGAAAAATAAAAGTTTTAGAAAAGTATTTTGATTATGTCAAAATTCTAGTTTTGACAGTCTCATTCCAAAAACACAATCTGTTTTCAATTCGGAGCAGTTTGGGCGAAAAAGCGTGTACCGTCTGAGATAAATTTATCAGCTTGGACTAAAAGCCAAACTTGATTTTCCTAAAATCTCTACTCAATCACGTATATCATCCTATGTTCTCCACTAGCCACCTCAATCTTCACAAACTCACCCCAAATTTCCTATCCTACACTAAAAACCAAAAGCAAAAGAAGAAGCTACAGTATAATATACACCATCATCCTTATCATCATCATCTTCCTCCACCATCCAACATCATCCATCATTTCTCCTCCTCACCACACTCTCTCTGTTGGCAATCAAAGGAGAAGAAAACACATCAGCAATACTCCATTTTTATGCTAAGGAAGAAGAAGAATCAAGAAGGAAATCATTCAAGTGTCTAAAATCCTGAGTTCAAACACAGCATCCCACTTCTAGGTAAAACCTGAAATTTTCTATTCATTATCTCGAAATACTTTCTGAATCAAAGTTGTAGCCCCAGACGATATGAATCCAGCCTAACAAACGGTTCGCGATTTCGTTAAGTAACGAAGGTGATATGGCCAAAATATCGGGACTGCGCCAGTGGTGGTGAGCTCCTCGGGTTGGCTATGTTTCCTCACCATATTCATGTTGTTTCATTCCAAACACTTACCATAAACTCGCTAACGATTATTAGGAACATCCGGAAAGTATCGTAGAGAAGGTTAGGTGTTGGAATATTGAAGTTAATGAGTTAATCGTCGGAATCGTTGTTCATCGACATCCGAAATCCTGGACAGCAACTGTCCCTTGACTTCAGGTCCGATTTACGCTATCTTACATATGTTAAATCGAAATACTTTCTATACAAAAGTTATATCCTTACATCTTAGGAATCCACAGAATCAAGCGGTTTGCAATTCCGTGATGAAACAATGGAGATATGCCCAAAATACGGCAGGCTGTCCAATTGTGACAAGAATGACAAAGTTGGTGAATTTCGACGTTGTTTTCACTCCCGTTCTTTTGCAAGGTTTTGGCCATTGATTTCCAGGTCTGTACCTTTACGTTAGACTTGTCGAAGCATTCATCACATACGTAAGTCATCTAGATGTTAAGATCAATATACACATACATAAGTAAATATAAACATTGGAAATCATCCCAACAACATGTATATGTTAATCAAAGGTGTTTAAAAGACCTACAGAAGTATTTTAGACACTCAAAATATCAAGAATAAGATTCGCAGACCCAAACGGTCGACCGTCGTATTAAACTTCGAAACGGACCACGACTCTTAGCAGAATGGTCGACCGCTACCGTCAAACGGTCGACCGTCGCCAGCCCAGCCGAATGCCGCCTCACTCAGGCCGTCAACAACGGTCGAACGCCGGTCAACCACGGTCTACCGTCACGGTGTTCCAGACTTACGAAATGAATTGAAGCACGATCGACCGCCGTGTCAAACGGTCGACCGTTCTAAGCCCAATAGCTTAATTAAATGATATTTTAATCATGTTTCAACCAAATAAACTCATGCATGATTATATATTCATATTGTTTACAAATTGTTCATATCATTCATTTCATGATTCATATTGAAGCATACCACATCATATGCATGCGTAAGAGATCATGCCTCGTGTGTCTCTTATAGCGTGATTATGCGGGACTTAGTAGTCCGACATCACACGTTCGGGCTTAGTGTACGTACATGGTATTCAGGCTTTTGAGTACCACCCCCATATTGTTTTTAGTCTCATCTCATCCGTGTAATCATCATCAAGAACAATCAAATTGATTAAATGTGTCATCATTTAATTATCATTAAATATTTATCATCACGAACCATCAATTTGACCATATGATATATAATGTGCCATATCATGAATATTATTATACATTTTTGTGGACGTATATATGTATATGTATATGTCTGTGAATTATTCTACAATTCTAGCGTGGTAGCACTCAGCGGTTTCGCTGAGCGTGTAGTTTGTATTTTTCGTTGACTACACGTAGGTAACAAGAAGATAATGATGGAAGCACTCCCGGAGGGCAATGAGTCGGAGGAGATGCAAGGATTGCAGGCAAATGTTTGATCATCAAAATTTTAAATGTGTCATGATTTGATTACTATTGTACTTCCGCATTACTCTGAAAATATTGTTAAACGGGTCACGATCCAGTGTCTGTAAATTTAACATTTATGAGAAATTGTCATTTTCAAATGTCAAGTAAAATTTTAATTTAACTCTGGTTTCACCTTAATACGTGTAATTCCGGGTTATACGGATTAGGGTGTTACAAATTTAGGCGGGAACACTATTCAAAAAATCATCCTAGCTTTGTATATAGTTAGATTTTGAGACATTTGAAGCATTTTTTGAATATGAGGGAAGTGTATTTTTATGAACGAGGTTTACGTGGGTCAATATTTATATATAATATTTGTTAAATGAGTTCTTTAACCAATTCATTAAATGCCTAGAGAAAATATTTATATTTGATAGATTTGACATAAAGTATCATTTTTCCAATGTTACTTTATGAAATCACACAATGATTAGACTATACATAAATCTACTTTATGGAGCTAATCCTATCTACAAGCCCATATCCGTCACTTCCCTTGCTCAGCCCATACCCGAATTCCTTAGCCAATGGTTTTGGCGGGAATACTATTCATCAATTCATCCTAGCATTGTATATAGGAGTATAAAGGATTTGTTATGATTGAATCTAATTTGGTGAAATTTCAATAAGATTAGAAAAAGTTAACGGAACGGCTATGGCCGACGTAAAAAAAAGTTCACGGAACACCTTATACGTATTTACTACGTATTTCCTTTATTTCCAGGTGCAATCATGTCCTTCCTCCATCGTGTCCTCCGTCGTTCACCGAACATCTTCCCTTTCGATTTTCTATCGTGTCCTCCGTCGTTCACCTTCAATTGATGCTCCGATTGCCTTGTATTCGGTATGCTCGAAACCCTAGGCTTAATTTCTGTTTTAGCAGTAGGGGAATTGTTGCTGCATTATGTAATGCTCTCCTCATCTTTTTAGGTATTCAATATGTAGTAGAATATAAATCTGCAATATTTCTATGGACGTTTTGAGATATTTGGTTGCAATGTGTAGTTTTTGTATTGAATTTCCACCTTGGTTAGGCAAACCTGCTTATAGTGCTACTGATACTTTAAATAACTGAAACCTTTAGATCTGTTTGCCATTGACATAATGGACCTTGTAAAATCATACAAAGGCCAATGCAGGTTCAAGGGCTTCAAGTGTGCTATGATAGACTGGTTTACATGAATGCTGCAGTTAATTTTTGCATTCTTTAGTTTCTCAACAATCTAGCCCTGAATACGGATTAAAATGTTAATAAATTATTTTCAGGTTTTCTTAAGTTTGAACAATACATTAACCTTTTTGTCTTGTTTGTATCTTGCCTAGAACATAATGAATTCCAATGCTTTATTTGCAGGCTTCCTTGAGAAAGTAATTTGAACTACTTTGAGGACTTCAAATCTTTCATCGAATTCCATGGTAGTTGATCCAATTCCTTTTTGGTCTTCAATGTTAAGCATAATTTGAGTTTTTAAATCCAATTTTCTGTTTATTGTAATTCACCTTACAAATATATCAGTTAAATCGAATCCCTTGTTACTGGTCGCTTTGTGCTTTATTATTTTGGATAAAATCTAACATTTAACCATCATATTATGTGCATGTATATGCTCTGTGCTTTATTGTTTCCATGCTCATTATTGAATGTCAAAATGTATAAATATACATATTAATTTTTGAAATTGATGCTTCGTAATTCAATTGATGCAGGAAGAGGAGTAACCCGTCGAAATTATGTTGAAACATTGATGCTTCATACAACCATATGTAAGCTTTGTGCTCATAATTTAATATCCAAATGCCCAAGTTGTAGAGAAATTTTTAGTTTGTAGCATGATTCTACTGAGTTGTTGTTGTAGCATGATAAAACTAAATGATACTCCGTATATAACTAGTGAGAAATCCCTTCTTCTTTGGGGCTCTTGAGAAACCTTAAGTACTTGTAAGCATTTAATTCATTTTGAATGTAGACTTTTAAAATTTAATAAATCAATTTTTATGTCTTAAACAATGCATTTATTGTGCGAATTAGGAGACTCAACGACAATAGTGCACCTAGAGGAATTCCAGTGTCAATGGCTAGTATGTCTCCAGTTTCTAAGGAATGGTTGTGTTTGGAGTGTGAAGTTGGAAAGTTTGGGAGTTTTTTAATTATTTACTTCACTGCCTCATACTCTATACGTTTTGTTTTTGTACTATCTAAATTATGCATTGTGATCTTTTTTATTTTTCTTGTTCTCGATAATAGGCACTCGAGAAATAGTATTTTATACTTTTAGGATTTTTATTTTCGTCTTTAATACTACCACCATTTCACAAAATAATTCCTATTTGAAAAAAGGTTAGATTTAAGTAATATGTAATTTAGGTTTTACTTTCCAATTTTACCATTTGGATATGATGGATAGAATAGTGTTTAATGGATAGGTAGGGTAATAATTAATAGGGCATATATGAGGTTTTAATTGAAAATGGAAGTGTTTTTTTGAGAGTGAAAAGTAAAAGTGAAATTATTTTGTACAACAGAAGGAATATGTAAATTATGAAATTATTTACAGAAGTAACTTGCGGAAAATGAAATTTTTATATGAGCTTCAATGATATTGAATATAAATATTTTCAAGAAAGATAAAAACACTTCTTCAAGTTGCATCAATTTCACTTGTAAAAGCACATTAGTCATATAACCAAAGTATTTTAAACAATACAGTAAGGACCTTAAAAACCTAATGACAAACATTTCATTAATATGTCCTGGAAAACACCAAATAAACTGAAACTATATTCTCACAAGTTCAACTCTGCAGCTTTGACCATAGTACTAGTAGAGGTATATTCCTTTTTTATAGTTTCAAATTTATATTTAGCCATGATAGTTAGTCTCTAAAGAGTTTGTTATAATTCTTCATCCTGATGTGTTTGACTATTTCCTCTTCTTTTATACTCCATATATTGCTTGTATCTTTTTGATAATCGTAATGGGATACAAATATTTCCTCTTGTCAATCTCTTCATAGAGTTCAACCATAGACATTTAATTCCACTACAACAAGAAACAATCCAACTGATACTCAAGCCTAAAATTTGTAGTCTATATAAAGTCACGGATAAATCCAGATTGTACTCATACAACACCAACAACATTACCCCAGTGCCTCAACGGCTCCTGCCCATTGCGGGGTAGGGGGGGTCGGATGTACGCAGTCTGACCTATGTTTAAAACATAGAGCGAATGTTTCCAGATGACCCATGATGAGCGTTGAAAGTTGCATTACGAACTGCTACTTCTCAATTGCAAGAAGTGCAGATAGTTTAGAGAGTTAATTTGTTTTATTCCATCATACCCCAAAGCCCAAAAATAGTGAATCTTTGGCTCCATAGGGGAATGCAAATCCAGAATGTACTCATAACACACTTGAATTCTTATATGTCTATGTTCCATTTTGGTGAAAGCTCGTATACGTGAAGGTGTTCACAAATGCACGAATATTATGATGTTAGAACCACTATGACACTACCCAGAACTAGATTTAATCATGAATGTTTATATATAGGGTCAATTATGGCTCAATTCATAATTTTATAGGGTTTTGAGCCAACAATGTGTGAAATCATTTAGGACAAATGAACAAACTACAAATACAAACTTCATGAAGGAGGCGGAGGAGGCTCAAGGTGGTTCTTGAAAGAGAAATCCCAGAGGAAACAAACCTGGACTTCATGCCTGAAAGCCACTCTGACCAAACGAGCCTCGATCACAACTTTTTACATTTAACTATTTGTACATGAACTTGTGTTTGAGATACTATAGTAACTAGGGGAATCACATCTTTGACATTTCATACTATGGTGTCTTTAACATACAAATAGCTACATGTAAAATAGTAGTGTTTGAGGCTCATTCAGTCAAAGTGACTTTCATATTTGAAGTCCAGGATCATATGCTCTAGGATCTTCTCTTTCAAGAGCCACTTGCAGGAGCCTCCTCATCTTCTTTCTTCTCCTTCGCAACGTTCGTATCTGGAGCCGTTTGTTCATGTGTCTTAAAGAATGCACACAATGTTGGCTTGAAACCCTAGAAAATTTTGAATTGAGCAATAATTGACCCTATATATAAAGATCAATGATTGGTTCTACTTCTGGCAATGCCTCAGTGGTTCAAATGTCACAAGGTTTGTGCATTTGTGAATACCTTCAGATCTGAATTTAAGATTAACAATTTATATACATTCATAATAGATTATAAATTTAGGGCAATATATAAAGGACAAGTGAAGTGAAGGACCTAATTAAACAAAAATAAATAGTACAGGGACTAAATTAATTCAATTTTGAATACAGGGACTAATTTGAAAACTTTTAGATACTAAATATACATTTCATTTTTTACTTCAAGTACGCCATCACAACTATCAATAACGAACAAGACGGTGAGAGATAACCAAATGGACTACATTAGAGGCTATATACAACAAGAACAACATACCTAGTATAATACCAACTTTGCTGGGGTATGGGGGTCAAGATGCACACAATCTTTCCCTTCTAAAAATAGAGACTGTTTCCACTAGACCTTTGATGCATAGTAATGAATAATGATAGCGGGGAAAGTTTTTTTTTAGTGTTACTAGGGGATACATGCTTAGTTAGCTGTTTAATGATTAAACATATCTAAGAATGAATAATGATAGCAGGGCAAGTTATATCATTTGTTATTCAAAACAAATGATATAAAATATCATATCTCTATGGGATTTTAGTTTGCATAAATGTAATATAGCCTTGCAAGTCTAATGTTGGTATACAAATAACTAGTTGACCGCATGTTGTGCGGTTTTAGAATGTATTTTATGATGCTCAACACCTGAGGCTGATACTATTTTAATAAAATACCTAATGATATCTCTTTTCCTTACTGTCTTTCTGTCTAACTAAATTCTAATATTGTAGGTGCCTCTGTGTGTGCAGAGATGTTATTTGCGCACTATAGCTATTGTTCTGATTTCTACAGTGTAATCTGGAACCTATACTTTCAACAATGCAAATATTGCCAAATGATAGTCGAGTAGAGGATGGTTCTGAAACAGAGCCTATCTTAACTCATTCCAATGTTGTAGAGGAATCATCACATGCAATTGAAATTACAGTGAGTGAGGATAGTTCTGCTAGTTCTGATGATTCATCGAGTATTGAGGTTGATGGAAGTCGATTGCTATTTAATGCAGAGCAACCACAATGTCGTATATGCCTTGATACTGAAGGTTTTGTATGCCTGCTGTGCCAGTATGACTGGTTTCATAGATTGCTTAGCTTTAGTTACTATTCTACGAACAACATTACAGTTACATGTAAAGGATAGGTTTGCAATTTATTTACTCATGTATCTTGGATTACATTCATATGAATGCAGAGTGTGGATGAGAGCAACACATTTTATTCACATAAAAATGTGTCTATCTTGTTTGCATTTTTCAGGAGAAGATTTGATTGCACCGTGTCATTGTAAGGGAACCCAAAAATATGTCCACAGGGCATGTCTTGATAATTGGAGATCTACAAAGGTAATATATGCTTATCTTATTTCTTATGGTCAGATATGATGCTCATTCCTATTATTCAGTTGATTGACTTTTATGAATGAAATTTATTTATAAAAAAACATAACAGAAGCATCCTGAATATGTCTTACATAGGGGTCCATTTACTATTCCTGGTGAACTGCTAATTGTGGAAAATACATGTAATACTAAGGAATAGTTTTGTAATTGTTGCTCCAAAGTAAGAACTCTAGAAGCATATGAGGTCACAGTATGTGTGACAGTTACACATGATGTCCTTATGAAAGACTTGGAACACTTAGGTACTATAAATGCCTTATTTCCTCCTTCGTTTATTGATGGAAGAATATATTCTCCTACTTTTAGTTGATAAATGCAATACTTTTGTTTAAAGTGGTGATGTGGTGAATTCAAAACAAGGAAGCTAGACTAAATTAAATGAATTGTAGAGGGACTTGCATTATTCATTGCAGTTGACATTTGACAAGAACTTAAAAGTGAAAAGGGCAACCATGGAATCACCCTAAAGACGAGAAAAAAAATAGCGAGTAGTGAAGTGGAATAGAACGACCGGATGGGGACATATGCATGTGTTGTTGAAGTGTTTCCAAAAAGACTACTGAACCCTACATAAAAAGTTTGTGTAGTCAGTGATGAAAATAGGTTAGAGGCACTGAAATTCTGCTTGACTTGATGGCAGCTACCACTATCCAAACATGAGCAAGTTAGTTTCTATCTGAAAATAAAAGAAATTTTGCTAAATTGGGAGAAAAATGAAATCATTTTTCTATAGGGACAGGTTGCTTTGAATGTTCATTATGCAATATTTTACTGAAATATCTGTGTTAGGACTTAGGCTCAAAGTTCTGGGAACAGGTGAAGGAAATTATATATCAAAATGTCTCTAAAGTGAGTGTTCCAACCAATATTTTCATGTTATGAAATGAGAGGGAAACAAAATCCACAAATCTCGCAAAACTCCAACCCATAACCAATGAACAATATTTGTTCTTATTTCTCTGTAATATTTTCCTCTGATCTGGATAAGCAATTATCCTCACATTCTTTAATATTTGCAATTATTTTTGTATTGCAAATGTTGTTTTAATTGTATTGTAGGCAATAAATTTGGTGTGTGTTGTTCTCTTTTCCCCAACTAATCATCCATTTAACCATGCATTTCTAAGAAAGATATTTGCCATTGAACCAGAATTTTAATATTAGAGCTTCAAGGATGCCACACACAAAATAAAAAAAGCTAAAAGAAAAATACCCATAATGGAAAAATATAATCATAGTCACTCTCTTGGATTGTTGCAAAACACGGGTTTTTGTAATAATGTAATAATCTGAAGAGTGTGTTCAATGCTTCACTTGGAATCCTTGGAATTCCCCTAACACTCACCTTTACTGCATCTTTAATTAGATAATTCTGCATTTTAATTGAATGGTGTGCCAAAAACTTACAATGTTTCTGTGCTTAAATTTTCCAGGAAGGCTTTGCTTTTGCTCACTGTACGGAATGCAAGGCAAAGTTTATATTGCGGGCAAATGTACCACCTGATCGATGGTGGTTGAGGTTGAAATTTCAGTTTCTCATTGCAAGAGACCACACTTTAATTTTTCTTGTTGTCCAGCTGGTATAAAATCTCTATTCACTTCTTGCTTGCTCTAAGTTGTGGTACCCTCTCTCTTGGTTACTATCTTCTTTGTTTAATAAAAGAGCACACTCTACAGATCGTAGCAATTTTAGGAGTCCTTGTGTACAAATTTTATGGAGAGGAGCTGCGGGAAATGTTTGGTTATGAAGAACATCCATATGGATTTTATACAATGGCAGGTATGCTTTGTCCTGGTTTAATATCTCATTTTCAATGGATGTTTGATTTTTTGGGTCCAAAATGCACCTCTGGATTTTGTCTTTTTTCACACTGAAATCTCTCATGTTTAATTGTTTGAACCTTGCAGTTTTGGCAATTGTATTGGTAGGATTGCTTTATGGCTTCTTCATAGCGATAATTTGTGGACAGAAAATCAGCGAGCGTCACTACTACGTTCTTGCCAAACCTGAACTCACTAAGGTATACAAGCTTTTGCTAATCTCAAAATTATACTACTCCGTACTAATTGGCATGATACTTTAATCTATTCTTTCCTCATTCATTGTAGAGAAAGAAAATCTATATGAGAGACTGACCTGCATTTTTCACTAGTATTTTAATGGGAAAACATTCTTTTGGATTAAATGGAGAAACACCTTAAGTTTTTTTCAGACACGTCTTGCTGCATCCTCTTTATTTCTCCGTGTTGTCATTTTATTACCATAGTTATGAGAGGCAAGATGCAGGTAGTCATTTTGTCACCATGCCACCTCTTGTTTTGTTGACGTATTGATTTAATTTTTGAATATAAAAATTTTATTCGTAATATTTCACTAATTGGCCCTAACGTACTATTTTGGAGGGAGAGTTTTGCAAAAAAAAAAGATAGCTAAAGATACATGTTTTGTAAGATTTAATGTAGTATATGTATGGATGTTGACCAAGAGACTTATCTTGGTCCTTTCATCCAACTCGATCAATGGGATTTTGAGATTTTATTTAAAAAAATGAAAGAACGTAGTAGGTGATGATTCAACATTTCAAAATTTGAATCACTATTTACTCAGTTATACAAACATTCTACCAATTGAGATATATACGAATTACCAAGTCCATTCCCCTCCATAATCCATCCAAACTGACCTGTAGTTTCAAATTGACAGGAGTATGTTGTAGAAGACCGGGAAGCATTAAGCAAGAATGTTCCAGAGCTTGACCCTAGCCATGTGTCAGAGCTAAGAATGCTGGGCCTTTATTAAGGTATGAATTTAGGCTATGTTTGGTACGAGCCACGAGGTAATCAACCATGTAGGTGTTTGGCTTGACATTTTTTTATAGCTGTAATTGAGTTGTGATTACGAATGTACTGTCTTATAAATTGCAATCAACTTTACATCTAAAAACCATTGAAGGATTACATGTTATTTTTATCTTATGCCTTCATTCTCTTCAACTTAATCAACCTCTAGTTATTAAATTGAAAAGCCTAACTGAAGAATTTAAAATTGTTCTTCAGAGGGATAAGAGGTGAAAACACACAGAAAATGTTGTACTTTACTTTGTATTAGATTGACTTTTACTTACTAAATTAAAGTTGTTACTCAGAAATCCGTTCATCATCTATGCAAATCCATGTTTTTTTGCAGAATTGGCCTTCTCATGACATGACTACGGAGGCAAGTACTACCCCTGATAGAACTTACAAACTATAGAGTAGGTTTGTGCTCCAATTCACTGTTGGCTTCTCATACGTAAATTCTAAATGCATATTTTATGTTGTTCTTGCTCTATACAGAAGCTCTTCTCCTCCAAATAGGAGACACTGAACCTGTGTCTCTAAATTTAAGGTTTTAATGCTTCTATTTTTTTGTGTTGTAGTGTGAAAAATTAATCTGTATAACTGCATTGTTGAGTGTCATAGCTCATACGCAGAATAGGTTTGTATGTAACAATGATTGATTTTCTATTCTATGTTGATTGATTAATCAAATTAAGCTACCCAAAATCCCACTCCCCATTTATGTTTTACAAGTGGAGGAAGCTTAATTCTAGGTTTTGGAGTTCCATCATTGCAATTGACAACAACAATAATAACCCAGTTGAATTCTATAAAAATTGGGTCTGAGAGGGTGTAAGTACGCAGACTTTCTATTTGAAAGTAGAAAGACTATTTTCAAAGACTCCTGACTTAAGTACTATAGAGAATTACGACCTGACACCTATGTTTAAAACATAGAGTAGTTTTTGGATAGCCTATGAAGAGTGTTGAAAGTTGAATTGTAGATAGTTTAAAGAGTCGTTTCACTTTGTTTTATCATACATCAAAGCCAAAATTTGGTGAACTTTTGGCTCCATCGGAGATGATGGACAATTAGAGCTAATTTGGATATAACTTACTCCGTATATGTTTGAAGATAACATTGTAAAGAAATTTTAAAGATCTTAAACTTCACAAGAGTAAACGCAAAAAAAATAATAAAAAAGGAGTTTTAAAAAATGTGAGAAGAGTAAATTGACAGTCAAGTGCACAAAACATTCCTACTTGGCGAGGTTCAAATAGTTTCACCATCAGAGTATTTTTTTTCTAGTTAAGACTTGCGAATGCATATACAATTTAGTTTACAATGGTAGTACACGCTCTAGTCGGATTTAAGTGAATTGTTGTTGTTAAAGTGGTATTACATTGGGAGAGTATTTTATTCAGTAATTTTTAACCTTTCATTATAAATTAAAATAACTTTTATTATTACTCGAATATTAATTAATCACCATTATTGTTACATTGTATTTTGTGCAAAACTCTTCATTTCTCACTATTCTATTAATATGCATTTTGTCATTGTAAAAATGTTTAATTAAAAAATATTTTTCATTAGAAGATTAAATTCGGATAGGAGTATTATGGAAGAATTTTGACGCTTGATGAAATTTTATACAATTGAGTAAAAACTAAATTTCATATTTATGATGAACAAAAAAAATTGAAAATCGACTTCTATAGAATAGAAATATATGTTGACGATGTGATATAATTATTCTCTCTTATATAAGAGTAAATTCGATAAAAGGTCTCCAGTTATAGATCATTTTACATTTTTAATCTCTACATATCAAATATTACTATTTAGTCCCTATAAAAATTAGGCACCAAGATAACATTACCCTTTAATTTAATTATAATTTTGAAATAAAAAAATTAAAAAACTACTCCCTCCGTCCATAAAAAAATTTCCGACTTTCCTTTTTGGGATGTCCACAAATACACTTCCCGTTTCCTTATTTGGCTAAAAAAATCATTAGAATGTCAATTTTACCCCTCCTCTCTTTTTCTCTCTTCCATCTTCCACATCTTCAAACACTGGCCATCTTCTTCGTTCTCTATCTTTTTTTCATCCTCACCATCTTCTTTCTGCTCCAGCATACCTCCTTCCTCCACCATATATATCTTTCCTCCATTGTAGTTTCTCTTACATTTTCTTATTACAATTAATTTTATTCTTTCCTCCATCATCGCCGTTCTCTTTTCCGCACCGCATGTGATTTTCGATGTCACCCTACAAGACATAGATTGGGAGATTTGGAGTAGCACTATCTTCACCGAATCTGAAAAAAACGGCACCATCTTCGTCATATCGGAAGGATTGTGCTTCGCTACGTCGGATCTGAACAAAATAAACATTATAGACGGGACGGATTCCCCCACGACCGCTACTGTAGCCTCTTGGGGTTATCGATAAGGCTTTAGATCTTCAATTTTAGATTTTTAATTTTGGGATCTTGGATTATAGATTTTGAGATGTTTAATTTTAGATTTTAGATTTCGAGAGCTTTTCTCTACAGTGAATGGATTTTGGATCTTGGATTTTTTCTTTGAGGATTTTTTAAACTGGTGTAAATATTGAGATTTGAGATCTTGGTGTTTGTTGAATGTTTGATTTAGAATAGATCTAGGACTTGTGTTCTTGACCGGAAGATGGAAGAAGGAAACAAACTTTGGTTCTCTGGTAATTGTAAAAGGATGAAAGAGGCATTTTAGTAAAGTCAATGTTATTTTCATTTCTCCTAAATATGCGTGCCCGGTCAAACCGAGAAATTTTTTTGGACGGAAGGAGTATAAAAGAAGAACAAAAAAAAATACTCCGTATAACAATAGAATTTTAGTTATAGAGTAAAAATTAGAGATCTATTAACACTCACTCTAAAAGTTGTTAAAAAAATTAGAGAATATTTAAACATATTGGAGAATATAATTTTTTTTGAAAGCTAAATCTTATAATTTTAGCTAAACATTAATTATAGTAAATTGCGATATTACTTGCCTTCTTTTTTTAATGCTAAATTTTATAAATTTAATATAACGTTAAATATAGTAATTTGTAATATTACTTGCCCTCTTTTTGAATTGGTTACTTAAATTACTCAATTTTAGGGTTATGTTAATAGAAATAATTGGTACCCCTAAAATCTCATCACAAAATGTTCAGATATAATGCAAAGAATGTTAATCCACCCCCACCTAAGTTTAAATACATACATGTTCAAAGAGGATCAATATTGTGATAAAAAGGAGAGAATCGGTATTTAAACTTCACTTTTCAATTTTTTTTTACGTATTGTTGGTATAAGCATTGACCTTTTCCATAAAAATTAGAACCATGAAAAATCAACTTGAGGAGAGATGGACGAGATCAACTATAAATGCAAGAGAAAGGAGAAAACGAATACTTCCAAAAAAGGACCTAAAATGGTGTTTATTTTTAAGATTAATTTTTTATTTTAGCAATTAAACATACATCTTTAAAAATCATAAATATCGTTTGTAGGTTTCATATAAAGCATGAGCAATTAAAGTGTTAAATCGTTGCTTTGGATCTTTTTCATGCATCCATTTTTTTATATAGTATCCTAATGCATATGTGTTTAGAATTTTTGTAAAAACTAGATCAGACAAAATATTTTGGTGAATATAATTTCTCCATTGTTCCCAAGGCAACAATGACCATTGATAGCTATGTCGCCTGCAATATGTGCCAACAGAACATGAGAGTTAGTTTTACTACTTGCGAATTCCTTTAACAGTTTAACATGGATGTATAAGGCTACAAGCTATCAAAGCTTGAAGACAATTATCAATGTTGTACCTAACTCATTCGAGAATGCATGCAAATGATTCAGGTTATTAATTGATGATAAAGAATTTGTTGAAGGTATAAAAGATAATGTTGAGCTAGGATCTAAGAGTCAACTAAGAAAGTTGTTTGTCACATAATTAGTGACATATACCATGAGTCGTCTTCAAGTTGTTTGGAAAAAAATCATGGGAGCTCTTGGTTGATGGGGGTTTATTTGACCGAAGAAAAATATTGCGTAATCAAGACATTTTTTTAAAAAGATAGTTTTTATTATTTACAAAAAATCAATATGAAATGCAGGGTATACATACAAAACTTTAGAATTGAAATCTGGGTGGAAATAATTTAGTTGCATTTTAATCATTTTTTAGCATAACTTCTTATTTCCTTAGAAATAAAAAAATTGTGTTTGATTAAGATTGAAAAGTGACTTAGTTCTAATGAACGGTCCTTAAAGGAATTCAGTGGTATGCCATTCTCATATGGCAGCCCACTTAATTGATTTCAAAACAATTTCTTGGTAGAGGAGTTGAATTATGACAAAGAAAAGCTATGATCTAATCTTAAACGATATTTATCTACAATGAATGAAGACCATGAGAAGATATTCAATGAGATAATGGAATTCGTGATAGCTGAAAGAGGAAGTTTCTTTTTTGTGCATGGTTACGGGAAAACTTGAAAAACAATCCTCTGGAAATCATTATCTGATTCTCTAAGATCGAACAGTAAGGTTATTCTCAATATTGCATCCAAAGGCATTTTAGCATTGTTATTGCCTGGTGGAAGGATAACACACTCGAGATTCTCATTCCCTTTGGCATTAAGTAAGTATTCAACGTTTGCCATTAAACAAGGGAGCACGAAAACAAAATTATTCCAACATGCAAGTTAAAGTATATGGGATGAAGATGACTAGATTTGCTTTGGGGCATTGGATCGCACAATGAGAGGTATCACAGAGTTCTCTAATACTAACTCAAAAATGAACCATTCAGGGAGAAAAAAGTTGTACTCAAATGTGACTTTCTCCAAATCTTTCCAGTTTTACTCAGAGCTTCAAATGAGTAAATTGTAGGTGTTACGGTCAACTCCTCAAAATTATGGTTGTATTATAAAGTTTATGCATTGACCAAGAATATGAGACTGCATTCATCTATGTCCTCTTGCACAGATAGGAACACACAAGTTTTTTCTGATTTGTGATGTTGAGATTCCCCCAATTCTTAATTCTTGACACAAGTTCTCCTATCAAGAGTATAGGACGTGGACTTCATTTATTAGAACATATTAGAGAATATGAATAACTATTCTTTTTTGAGGATATGATATTATTAGGACCAGGCCAACAACTCTCAAAGTATTTGAAATGTTAGATGAAGATGCAGGTGTTGATGATGATTAATAACCATTTAGTTTTTGAATGAAATCAATTGTTCGAGAATCCCAAACCACAAAGTAGTTTTGAAAAAAGGGGTACCGATTATGCTATTCAGTAATATTGATCAATCATCTGGAGTGTGTAATGAGATAAGATTAATCATTGAAGAGCTATGCATTAAAATTATCAATGCAATTGTGGTTCTGAGAAATTGAATCATGGAAAAAGTTTGCATACCTAGAATGAATTTGGTACCATCTGATCCTAGACTACCCATGAAATTCTAGAGCAGACAATTCTCATTTCTTTTATGTTGTACAATGACTATTAACAAAAGTCAAGGTTAAACATTGTCATTTGTTGGATTTTTTTAACCAAGTCGGTATTCACTCATTGTCAACTTTATGTTGTTGTTTCACGAGTGAAACCAAAGATATAGTTAAAAGTATTAGTTTTAAATGATAATAAAAACCCTCGCAACAATACCAAACATGTTCTATACTCTGTAGTCTTTCCAAAAAATATAAATTTAAAAAAGACTCTCAGGTGTTCACTTTTGAATTTATATATAAAAATTTTCATCACCAAATATTAAATGCTAAGTTATTTATTTTACTTTGATTTTAATGTCTATAATGTTATAAAATGCATCACACATAATTTCATTAATTTATTTTAAAATATTATACTCCCTCCGTCCCCATTTTGATTACAATATTCCCTCATCTATTTGTACCAAAATAGATTACAAAAATCCATTTTGGTAACATTTACCCATATATTTGTCCAAAATACCCTCCACATTAATATCCACCCACCCCCTGTCGCCCTTATCTTCTCGAAAGGTCCACTGATACGTCCGAACCTTTGCCGGCCGTGAAGTAAGGAGGAGAAGAGGCTGAGAGTTGAGTTAGGGTAAAGACAAGGAAGAAATCTTTAGGGAGAAGGACAGTGTATTATTCGCTCATAGCCCATGAGGCGTACATCCCTCATAATATATAGTATGGAATTCTCCCAAACCCTAATTACTAAATTATCTAACCTGTCGGTTCAAAAAATGCGTCAAGGGAAAGAACCGAAAAGAAAATCCTTGAAGGAGCTTATAACACGCTCTCCTAAGAAAAATCTAAATTTTAATTAATGAAATAACGAATATTAAACAAAGTCACAATATCGTGGGGTGGCCCGACGGAGCTTCGTGGGGGCCCCTCCGTTGTGGGCTGCGCATGGGCTTCGTCCGTACGTACCGCATCAATACCCGTATCATCTCCCCCGGGGTTAACAATAAGCTTGTCCTCAAGGCTAAGATTTGGAAAATGTCGCACCAAGTTCTCCGCGGGTTCACAAGTGAAGGCGCCATCCTCGGCATCGGACCATTAGATTAACCATTGCTCTTGGGGGCTGCCATCGACAAGAACTATGCGGCGTTGAAGAGCACAGACAGGGACAGAGACCGGTCGGCCTTTGAAGAAGCTATCCGGTAAGGAAGGGATCGGGGGGCTGGCCTCACGCGCTGAACAAAAGGACGAAGCAAGGAGACGTGAAATACATCATGAATGCGGCATCCCACTGGCAGACGCAAGCGGTAGGCCACCTGCCCAATACGTTCGAGAATTTAGAAAGGCCCATAATAACGACGGCCCAGCTTTGCTGACAGAGGGCGGGCGACGGAATGCTGACGATAAGGTTGAAGTTTCAAGAGTACCAGATCACCGACCCTGAAGGATACGTCACGACGATGCTCATTTGCGCGGTCTCGCATACGGTGTTGCATCTTCCGGAGATGGGTCTTCAAATCATCCAATAAATGTGCCCGCTCACGAAGGACCTCCTCCACCTCCGGGCTCCGGGCTTGTACAGAGAGAGTAGGAAAAATAGATGGCGGGTCACGTCTGTAGAGGGCCCGAAATGGCAACATGCTGAGGCCTTCCTGGTGACTGCAATTCAAGGCTAGTTCCGCCCAAGGAAGAAAACCGACCCATTTAGAAGGACGTTCGTGCGTGAAGTCCCGGAGATACTGTTCGAGGCTTCGGTTTGCCCATCTGCTTGCGAATGATAGGTTGTGGAAAAGTGCAGCGACAATAGGCGCATTGACTCCTTCCAAAAAAGACTCATAAAAACGGAGTTGCGGTCCGAGACAATAGATTGAGGAAACCCGTGGTGTTTAACCACAATGTCGATGAAGAGCCGTGTAACACCCCACCCTGGATGACCTGAATCATCCAGACCAAAGTGCTAGTAAAACCGAGCTACTTTGTAAAATATCATTTTTTTTGAAATATACTCTTTTTGATATCTAAATAGAATTTTTAAAAAAACGTTTCCCGCGTAAACTTAAGGTAAAAACATCCACAGTTAATACAACCTTACCTTGGGTTCAAGCCCAAAAAAAACAAAGTAAAATTTAGTTCGATGTTTTATTCATTATTAAATATTAAATAAGAACT